GCCGGGGCCGCGGGCGTCCTGAGCGGAGCGCCCGCCCGGGGATGCCCGCCGCGCTGCTGGCCCTGGCCATGTCGTCGTCCTTCTTCAACCCCAGCTTCGCCTTCAGCTCACACTTCGACCCCGGTGAGTTCGCGGGCCGCGCCCCTCGCCAGCCCTCTGCCAGCTGCCTGCCAGTCCTGCTCCACGTCCCCCCACTGCGGACATGATGCTTCCTGAGCCGCCGGTTTCCTATTTTGCATGGAAATTAACCCTTTCCCCACCCTGAGCGGAGCCCGCCGCACAAGGAACCGGCAGGACCTTCTAGAGGCCCGGATCTGTGGAGGTGGGCACCCTTGGGGCTGGCACCGGGCACAGCTGAGGCCTCTGTGCCCGGCTGAGGCAGCCGGGCGGGCAGTGGAGGCACTGCCGTGTCTCTGTGGACACCTCCAGGTAACTGGGGCAGGAGGGTCTGCGTTGGCCCCAGGTGTCCAGGGGAGGAGGAGGCCAGGACTAAGGGCCCTGGGGAGGTGTGGGAGTGTGGCCCAGGCTGCCATGACCCCTGCGGTCCACAGTGTTAGCGTGGTCAGCTCCTCCCCAGGCAGGGAGTGGGTTCTGGGAGCCCTGCCCCACCACCCAGCAGCCTGCATGGGGAGGTGGGAGCAGTGGCTGGCCTCGAGGACAGAGCCCACTGGGCAGAGGCTTAAGAGATAGGCTTCAGTGGGTGCCCAGGCCCCCTGGACAGTGGGGGAGGCTGAGGTGGCGCTGTCAAGCTGGCTGCAGGGGACTTCTTACCCCACCAGGCTGGTGGCCCTGGCAGCGTGTTTACCCGTGGCTGCCTGGCTGCCTGGCAGCAGTGGGCAGTTGGGGTGGGCAGAGGGGGCCGGGGTGGCTGGAGGCCTGCGTCTGTCACCAGGAGGTGGTAGGCTTTCTTCTCTTTGCCTCCGCCAGCTCCCGTCCCCTCTTGGCTTGAGTGGGAGATAAACGCCTGCCCTGGAGCCATGGCCCAGGGGCCCGGAGTCCCACCCGCTTGTCCCTGGGGCTCCGGCATAGGCTAATTCAGCCAAAACAAAGCTGAGTGTCCACGTGATGGGCTCTCCTGGGCCCCCCTCCGGAGCAGGCCCAGCAAGCGCAATGCGCAGGGTCCTCTGGGCACAGCCCCATCTGAAGGCATTTGCTCCTGAGGGAGGGGAGCTGACTGGAGGTCTGTCTGCTGGGCTTAGGGTGTGGGTGTCACTTGCTCAGAAATGACTTCCCAGGAGACTCCCAGGGCTTGGAGAACATGGTGTCACCAGTGGATGGCCCAGAATCCAGGCGGCAGCAGCCCTCACCGGGCCCTGAGGGTGGGGGGTGGAGGTGGCCCTGCTGAGCAGCCCAGGACTAGACAACCCTTAGGGACGGCCTCCAGGCGGCTTGGGGCTGGTGTTCCAGGCAGCGAGCCTGCAGGGAGGTGGGGGTCCAGCCTCAGGACTGCCCGCCTTGGAACTGTTGGCGGGGGTGGTGTAGGGACTGGCCCAGGAAGGAGGCCCTCCCCCATGCCCTGCCTCATGCCCTCTTCGTGGGGCCCAGACTTGCCCTGTGTGGGGGTCAGTTACCCCCTCCCTACACCCAGGCATGTCCTGGGCATGAGACCCTCACGGAGCTGTGCATCTCCTGCAATGTTCTCGTAAACAGCTGTGATCAGTGTAATTATACTCTGTCAGTTTAATGACTTACAGGGGGAAAAGTTGACAGGAGGCGGGGGAGGGCTTCTCTTTGCAGGTCACGTGAAGGGGAGAGCTGTGTCCCACCGCGGGAGGGGCTGCCTTGGTTGGTGGTGATGGGTAACAGGCTGGGGTGCAGGGCTCCGTGTTGGCCCCCACGTGGGTGTCACCGAAGAGAGATGCGGTTCCCTGCCCTCCCACTAAACGCCCAGCGTTCAGAGCCCGGCTCCCACCCCCTGGAGTCCCTTTGCCCCACCTCTTCTCTGAGGTTTCTCATCTGTAAAATGGGATCGCTATGCCTACCCCCACCCCCGGTCCTGGTGGAGTTTGAGTGCCTGGGGAAAACTGGGCCCTCAATAAATCGAGACTGCACTTTTGGGGGGGGGGTGCAGGGAGACAAGGCCACAGTGGCTGCGTGGCTTTTCTCGATCCCCAAAGTGGAGAGAGACGGTTCTTTTTGAGGTCTGCTGTGTCTGGGGGGGATCCTGCTGGGGGACCACCAAACCCAAAGGGCGGGGGAAATTCATGTCCATGGCCGTCTCAGAGTTTGTTTCTGTGGTTGCTCACAGTGAGGGGTGGACAGGGGGGCGGGCCTGGGCAGTGGGTCCTTACAACGTTTCCAGGCCAGGCCTTGCTGCCCACGGTGGGCTCTGCGTCCGTTGTGGGATTCTGTGGCCGTCCCCCTAGAGGAGGTGGCAATGGTGGTGGTTATGGCAAGAGAAGGGGGCTGAGTTTGAGACTCAGGCTGTGGGCACACGCTCAAGTGCCACCTGGGGGCTGAGGGGCCTCATTTAAACCAACGCCCGCCTGGGCCCCACCACCGCTCAGATATGGACAGGGCAGGGCCCCAGAGGGGGTCAGGCCTGAGTGTGTGCTCCTGGCATGACGGGAGCCCGTGTAGGTGAGGATCTGGAAGGGCTGCCTCTTCTGGGGTCTGGCTCTTCCCAAGGGTGTGATGACTGTGGGGGGTTTCTTGGCAGTCATAGCCCTGTGACCTCAGCGCTGTGTGGCCTTGGGCTGGTCACTCAAGCTTTCTGAGAGTCAGCCCTGCATAGGTGAAACCTCACCCTGGGAAGACCAGGTGGGTGGGGCATGGAAGCCAAGAACTGAGAAGTGATAGGGGTGCCATGTGGGGGTCAGGAGCAGCTGGTCCAGGCTAGGAGGGAGGGAGTGGTGTGGCCCCAAGGGATCCGGGGTTGCCTCTCCTGCCAGAGTGCCCCATGGCAAGGGGCTGGCCTTGCTTCTCACCGTCTCCTGCCTCGGCCGACTAGGTGTGGCCCCTGACCTCGGCAGGGGCTGGGCAGATGCAGGCCTTGGTCAGGGCGCTCCGGTTTCTGGGCAGGCCCGAAACCCGAGTCCCGAGCCCGGGGGCCTGGAGCCGTCTGAGGCTGTGGCCAGGAGTGGACATGGGGACGCCAACGGGCTCTGCCTTCTCCCGGAGGACCCTCCGCCACTGGGTGGTGGACTAGCCCCTCCCTGACCCTCTCTGTGCCTGAGTTCCTAATCTGCGGTGCCTACCTCTGAGGGTCATGTGAGGGTCAGCAGGGTCCATGGCATGGAGCACTGAGCGAGGGTGAGTCCCAGGCAGTGCTGGTCAAGACTGATCCTGGTGCAGGGTCATCATGGACCAGTTGGTGGGACTTGGAGTTTGGGGGAGCCCATGGAAGACAAGGCAGCTCCTGCCCCTGCCCCAGGCTCTCGGCCCACGTTGTGCCCTTCCCACATCCTCACCCTGTGCCGGCCCGGCCCGGAGCTCGCTCACTGGTGTTGACGTGTGCACGGTGCTGGCTCGGGGCTGGGCACATCTGGGCCTTACGGTGAAGGTGTGATGGGGTGAGGGCAGAGAGTGTGCGTGCCAGCTGGGCATGGTCTGAGCTGGCACAGGCACAGGTGCACTCAGGGGACTTGAGGGCTGACACGGCACCCCAGGAATGGGCTTGAGTGGGCCCCAGGAGTCCTGCTCCCTGGCTGGTGGACGTGCCCTGGCAGCGGTTCTCAAACCTGGCGGTCCACCGCTCGCTGCCTGCTGCCTGTGGGGCCTGGCTGAGGGCAGATGCTGCCCCGGACGCCTCACAGAGCTGCTCTGGCTTGGGGGCGGGAGACTGCCCTTTGACTGCTGTGGCCCCTCGATGGGAGCTATGGTTGTTGGGGTAGGTCTTTCGGGTATAGGCCAGTGCGGGGAAGGTGGGAGTGGGAGGTCATGGTCCCCCTCTGGGCAGCGGGGGAGGGAAGACAATTTCTTTGTCTTTCTGCAGGAAGCCAGGCTGCCCTTCTCTCAATGGGGGCTGTTTGTCCCCTACGGGGCCCTGCACCCACATGCACCTGTGCAGCTGCACTCACACACATGAATACACGCATGAATGCACACACTCACATACCATCACACATGTGTAAACATGACACACACCTGCGTTTGCACAATACAGCCACACATACACGTGCTCGTGCACACACCTGTAAACACACACATAAACCCTTGCACACACCTACACCCCACACGTACACACACATGCAGGTGGACATGGCACCTGTACCCCTGCACACACACCTTCACGTAGACGAACACTCACATACAGCCCTTGTGCATACACGCTGGCGTAGAACCCACTGTTTAAAGTGTGCAGTCACCTCCTTGGGGGTGTGGTGGTCTCTTGGGGTGCAATTGCTTCTGAGCGTGGTCGCCTGACCTGCTGTCCCCCCGACCCAGGCTGGCCGCCTTCGCCTGCCGTGGGCGCCTCTTACTCCCCTGTCTAGCAGAGCCTGAGCTTGGGGCTGGCCTGGACCCTGGTGCCTCTGAGACCAGACCATCTCCCCTGCATTGGGTGACCTTGAACTGGGCGTGTTGGTGCCCCTGGCTTTTGTGTGTGGAATTTCCTGCCACTTTGTCTGTGGGGTCCCAGCCCACAAGGCCCACGAGGCCCTGTCCAGGGCCCTTCATGCCATGGCCTGACCTCCTGCTTGGCCCTGCTCCATCTGGCCCTAGTGTGGTCGTCACCTTCTCAGCCCCGTCCTGACGTTGACCTTTGCTGCCCTGGGTGGAGGTCAAGGTCATGTCTGAGGAGGGGGAGCCAGATCCACTGCTTCTCCTTTGGCCCTCAGCTCCACTCCTGCTCTCATTTCAGTCAGGAGCAGTAACCACCCCTGAGTCTTAGTGGGCAGGGACGCCTGTGCCCTGAGCAGGTGGCCTGAGGCTTGGGGAGCCTGGAGCCATTCCTCCCAGTGGCTGGCCCACAAGGGCTGCCCCCCGTAAGCTGGCCACGGAGCTTTTCCTGAGGGTGGACTGTGCCTGGCCCCTTCACCTGCAGTCATGGCGTTGGAGCATGTGTGCCCATCCTCCATCTGGGAAACGTGCTCCTCCCTGCACCCCATCTTCCCCACTCAGTGGGCTTCTGGCTGGAATAGCATCCCCCTAAAATGCATGCCCACCTGGAGCCTCAGAATGGT